CTTTCCCCTGACCCAGTCAGTCATCAGCATTAACACTGCTGCATGGGCAGGCAAGGGCTGAGCTTCCACACGTTATGCTTTGGGCTGGAGCAGGAGAGAGGAAGGAGCAGAGGCAGGGAGCAGCGAGGGGGTAAAGACTGGGGTGGAGGGGGGAGAAGGGAAGAGACAGAGACTGGAAGGGGCAGAGGCTATGTGGAGCTGGGAGTAGGGGGTGCAGATAGCAAGGGGGCAGGAAAGCTACAGGGGGAAAAAATGGGTGCGACAGAGCAAGGGAAGTACCTGACCCGACACCCCCACCCCCGCTATAGCAGTGCAAGGGTGAGATTCGAGACATCTCTTCAATACTTAAAGTCTACACCTGGAACATCATAACAAATGTATACATTTTGCATAAATATAATCTAATACTTGGGACATTGTCTTATATTCAGGGTCATCTTATATTTGAGCAAATGCAGTATTATTTACACAATCTAGAGACAAGCAAACTGACCCACACAGGCTCCTTCCTAAATCAGCAGCAAATCAGATTTTGCCACAAATATTTCCCTGTTGCTGCTCCTTTTTGATGAAGGCTGTTGAATTGTGCTTGACGGCTGCTGTACATTGGCACATGAAAAGCATTGGGCCCAGGTGTGGTGCAGTGATTCAAAGGATGTCTCCAACTAGTAAAGGCAGGTTTTTTCACCTGGGGCAGTGAGACAGGTTTAATCCCTCTCATGTAATCCCTTCAAGCTCCACTAGCAGAGGCTGTTGAAGAGATGCACTTAAGTCTGGTAATATTCCCATTCCAGTCAGTTTGGGGCACTTCCTGCCTCTGGAGGTTGTCATCTAGGACTGCTCAGACAGGTCTTAGGGTGAATCTGAAGCAGTATTGATTTAAAATGCATCTTGTCCAGCTTCTTAAAATGAGATCTGCGACAAGGAAAAGCCAACCATCTTGGAGGTTCTCGTGGTGTCAGTCACAGATGCTGCTCTATATTTTTGTCCTAAATCTGTATTTGATGTACCCGCCAGGGCTCATTACAGCAGACGAATAGGGGTAACATAAAGTTAACACTTAAACTGGGGTAAATCTTTTATTGAGGTTCCTTTTTATCTTTCAGTTTTATTGAAATATAACATAAATTTGTTTTTAAAATGAGGTTTGAAACTAGGTGGTTTTGTTTAAATGCAGTATTAATATGATACATATACTTCTTTTCGTAGCCTCCAATCGGTGGATTTTGAAGCAGTAGCTGTTACAGTAAAAGAGCTGGTCAATTATGCACTGACTATAAATGCAAACAACCACTTCTGGCTAATTATCCAGGCAGATATTTATTTTGGTAAGTGCAGCTGACATCCCTTTAGACAGCAGGCATGGGCATGTGCATGTGCACCATGCTTTTGCCTTTAGACTTACTTGTCCATGTGTGTCTTGAACAAAGTCTGGAAGGGAGTGATAAACTTTACTAATCTGTTTATCAAAAGAAACTTATATGATACAGAGCTTTTCCAAACCGTGAAGTCTTTGAATGCTGTCATAAAAGTGGTTTGGCATGAACAGACCTCTGATTCTCCTCCCCTATCCCTGTCCCGTGCTCCACTGAAGTGAGTGAGACTTCATGAGATCATTCAGACTTTTACCTAAGACTGGGGGGAGAAGGGGTGGGGAGGGGCAGCATAATACAAACAGATGTAAGTAATTTTGGTTGCAAATCCTCAATACTAAGGGAAACACTGGGTGAGCCAGTTCTCAATGTTTCCACCTATCTGTAGAAATGAGTAAACATTTGTATTCAGGTGTCATAGAAAATAAACACAGTTCTTCTGAGGCTGGGTGCATAGTAGGCTCATACTGGGTAACTCCCTGCCTAGGCTGGAATATGGCTTTAAGAATGACTTTTGTGACCCCAGTTAGCCCACTGTGTGCCAGCTAGATTGTGATAGGAGGAGCAGAAGACAAAAAGGGAATTCTTTGGAAGCTAGGATAGTGCTCCTGGCTGCCCAGAATGGGAGTAGTCAGGAGGGCATCAGTCAAGTGTCATTCTAGAACCAGTGTCCTAATCTGTTGAGCAGCATGGTACTTGGCTTCAGTGGTTCTTATTTGGCTAAGACATTGCCAGACCAGAGAGGATTTAGTGTTTTATGGATCCTAGGTGCTCCCTGCAGTGAATGAGCACTGCTTTTAGAGATTCAACTATTAGCTGAAGTAGCTTGCCTGCATGTGGTCCAGAGGCTTGGAAGGGAAAGCTGCCTTGACACTACTCCTCTAGTCCCTTTTCTGCTCAGTGCTTATCCTGCCTTCTCAGCAGGCTGCTGGGCAGAAGATTTGGGCTGTAAAGCAATTCTGACTTCTATGGTGGTATTTAAGGAGAGGTCACCAATTTCCCCTGCAGTTTCATTTGGTTTGAGCACTTAACACAACACAGTAACCAAGGACAAGAAGTTAAGCAGCTGTTGCATTTTGGAGTTGAATGAAATGCTCTCACTGGAGTTCATAGAATCACGTACAGCTTTGTGGGAAAAGTCTGTGTGCTATTGAGAGAGAGAGAGAGCAAGCTTCAACTTGCAGTGTTACCCCCTGAATTCTCTGAGGGAAGAACAGTCCCCCAAGATCTGTCCTGTGCCTGTGGGTGACAAGGTCCCTGCAGAGCAAAGCCACCAGGAGGGAGTTACAGATGTAGCCTTTTGCTTCTGGTACCACCATAGTATTGTAGTGCTCAACTCTGAGGCATTCTGCTGCCCAGTGAAATCCTTGCCCAAGTTCTCAAGATGAGTATGTGGGGGGGAGCACGAAACATCTAAGAACGAGATCCTGAGAAGCCAGCGGGATGATCAAGTGGCCAGTTAAGCCACCTAGGAAGAAATGTTGACAAGGTTGAGCTTTACAAAGGTCATTCCCTCTGCTTGGAATTCTCTGCCATGAATCCTCATCCAGCCCTTTCCCACCAAAAAAACCCAGATGTGGACTCTCTTGTTAATAACCCAGTAGTAAAGGCACTTAGCTGGGAGGTAGGAGACTAGTTTTCAAATCCCCATTCTGATGTGGAGCAGAGCCATGGACCCCAATGTTCCACATCTCACCAGAGTGTCTAACTGCCCAAATTTTCCCATATTGTAGAGCACTGAAGGGTCTCTCCTGTTGAAAGGTATTCCACTTTCTGGAATATTCATTGGACCAGAGATGTCTTCTAGAGTCTAGTAGTTTGGGATGTGGGAGCTCAGAGCTCTGCTC